GCTCGGTACCGCGGCCATGGAGTTCCCGGCCGTGCTCTTCCCCTCCTACTTCGGCGTCGGCCCGCCGCGGGAAGAGGGTGGCTCCGCGCCGGTCGCCGGCTGGGGCGAGCACGGGCAGGTGCTGGAGGGTGGCCCCGGCCGCCGCCAGGTGAGGCCCTGCCGGGGGTGCGGGCCGGCCGAGGGGACCGGTAGGACGCTTAGGGGCCGCTCTGACTCTCCCCTTTCGGTCCCCGCAGGTGCAGCCGGCGTTCGTGCCCCGCCGCGGCGTGACGGGTGAAAGGTGGGAGGCCGCCGACCCTGCGGCTGTGCCGGTGCTGCTGCCCAGCGAGGGTGAGAGCCGCGGGAGCGGGAGGGAGCTCGCTGCACGGGGGCTGGGGGAATGTGTCTTCCACCTCTATCGCTACCACTGTCCCACGGTGCTGAGCGATGTCCCGGTGCTCGTGTGCCAGGCGGCCTCTGCCTTCTCCTCACAGACGGCTGGATCCCCTTGCCCGCGACTCAGGACATTTTGTACAGCAGCGGCCTGTGCAGGAAGCTCCGGGCAGGCAAGTCCGGAGCCACTCTAGACTTCGCTAAGCAGGTGTGGTTTGGGGCATTGTGTCCTGGCAAGGACCTGGGGGGCAGCGTGGGACCTTTGCATGCACTGACCCTTTTCCCTCCCACACAGCTGGGACATTTCTTTGTGGATCACCCAGAAGACGCTTTTGGCTCCCTGGGGCACCTGCTGCACAAGAACTTCCACCTGGGAAACTCCAAACTGAAGGTCATTGTCTGTCCAGGGATAGCAGTGCTGTTCCCCACCCTTCCCCTTGCCAGTCTCAATCTCTGCCCCTTACTCCTGCAGAGACCAGCCCGGAGTAGCACCATCCGGATGACAGCCCTGGTGGAGGACATCGACCGCCTGGAGGCTCGACGGTGAGTGTCCCTGTGTGCGCTGCCCTGCGGAGGTCTGGTGGAGCTCCTGCTCCGTCCGCACACCTGATGCTGTCCATGCCCTATAGCGGCTGCCCCCGGCAGCACTTGGCCTCCCGCCTGCGCTGGTTCTCCCACCTCTGCCGTGACTGGCTCTTCGAGGTGCCACTGGGGCTGCTGGCAGACTGCCTGCACGAGGAGCTGATGCAGCAGTGGTCCAACTTGCTCTTTGACGACAGTCTCACTGGGGGGGCACTGGCCTGGTTGCCCCCTGAAGACGGGGGGACACCCGTGGGCCGCCTGGTGCACCCTGGAGGGAAGGCCATGAACCACCTCTGTATCCTTCCCCATGGGGTGTCCCTGAGGAGGGAATTGAGGGTTGTGTTGCACTGCCCTTAGCCATCAACCCAGATTTCCAGGATGTGGTGCTGGAAGAGCTGCCCCGTGCCCGGGGCTCCCCAGCACAGTTTGAGCTCAGTGGGCGCATCCGGCAAGTGGCTGCAGCCCGTGTGGATGGACAAGGTGAGCCAGGATCCACATCTTGAGACAGACAGGATGTAGTGGGGAGAGACAGCAGGGGGCCCCTAGGATGCTGCCAACTCACATGCCACCACCTTCCCCCTGACAGATTTTGTTGGCGTCCGTTCAGACTATCACTGTGGTGTTTGGAGGGTGCCGGGCAAGGCAGGGGCAGCTCCCACCCCACTACAGGTGATCCACACTGATGTGCCTGCCTCCTGCCTCACTGTCAGGTAGGTGCTGGAGGAATGGGCTGTGCAAAGAGGGATCTCTGCTGGCACAGCCCTGCTCCGTGTGGTGGGTTCTGTTGCCCCATGGTGATGCTGTGCCCCCCATCCTCCAGCCCTCACCTTCCCGGGGAGCTGTCTGTCTGCACGCAGAGCGGGACCGTCTACCTCTGGAGCGTTGAGACCGGGTGAGATAAGGCACTCAGGGCTGTCTAGGGATTCATGCAGACAGTCTCAGGGGGTGGGAGGCCCAAGTGACTGGGGCAGCCCTGCCCCATGCCAATACTGCTGTCTCCTCACAGGCTGCAGCAGCTCCGCCATGACCCCCAGACCATGTTTTTTCGGGACCATTCATCCTGGCGCTGGAGTGACTTCACTGCCCACCCACGGGTGCTCAGCTGTGCTGACCGCACGGGCCTGCAGTGCCTAGATGCCCGGGTGAGCCAGGGAGGGTGGCTGTGGGGCTTGGGGCAGGCAGGGAAGAGGATTCCTCAGCCCAAAGTGCTGACTGCACCCCCTTCTACTGCTGCAGGCCCCCAAGAGATGCCACTTCGACTTGTTCAAGGTGGGCGAGGAAGCTGGCTGCCAGCAGGGTGAACGTGTGGTGCTGCCCATGTACCTGGGCAGGGCTCACCCCTCACAGTACCTTGTCACCACCCAGGTGAGTCCCATCACAGCTGGGAGCTGGGGAAGACACAGCGCACAGCTGTGTCTCCCGAGTGCCTGTAGGGCATGAGGCTCTTCCAGCTCAGGGGAGCTGCCAGTGTGTTGGGATGTGTCCATCTGAACCAAGACTCCTGTCCTAGTTCTCCATGTATGTGCTGGACGAGCGGTTGCCACTGATGCCTGTTCTGAAGTGGGCACACATGATGAAGGCCCCTCCGGTCTTTGCACACCTGATGCCAGGCAAACCCGGGAGGAGCCACAAGGTGCTGCTTGGAGCATCCCACACCCAGGAACTGTTGCTGTTGCAATACCGGGGTAAGAGATCAAGCTCAAGAGTGCTGCAGAGCCAGGACTCCTCTGTGCCTGTGTCCCAGCCTCTGCTGCTAAGACCAGCTGCTGCTCTGAGTCTGTGCTCACCAGAGTTGTTTCCTCAGGGGGCAGCCAGTCAGCTTGTCAGCTGGCTGGGACTCCACAGAAGCTGCACAGTATTGCAGGGTGCCTGCAGCATCTGCCCACCCAGCTCCCTCACCGTCACCACATGCTCCAGCAGCGCCTCACAGCCCCAGCAGCAGGTGAGTGTCCCACACTGCTCCAGGTCCTGGTTGGGGAGAAGGTGGAATGGAGTGGAACTGTAGCTGTTGTCATGGCTTGGCTGGAGGATGGCTGAAAAAGCAAAAGCAAAGTCCCAAACAATCCTGTGGAAGAGATTAATGACAGAAAATTATGTACAGGGCAGGAGCCATCAGTGAGGATGCCCACTGAGGGGTGGAGGCAGCCCCACTGCTGGCCAGGCCCCTGGAGTATCCCCAGGACTGGAACTCCGTTGACAATGCCTTTCCTGTTCCTGCAGGGCTGGCTGCCACGCTGGAGGAGGATGCACTGCACAAGTCCATGTTGGTTTTCCAGCTCTCTGAGGCTGGGGATGTCTTCTGCCAGAGGCTGACCCACAAGCCAGCACAGCCCCCTGCACCCCCATCAAGGGATGAGGTCACAACAGCCCCTGGCTCTTCCCCTCTCTTTGAGGCTCCAGCCAGCAGCCCACAAGGCTTGGGCGGTGAGGAAGAAGAGGAGGAAGAGCAAACATTCTACTTGTCCAACCTGGAGGTGATTATCGATGATGAGGAAGAGGACATGGGCACACCAGCACCCCTGGAGGAAGCTGAACTGCAGGAGCCCTGTGCGAACTCCCAGCCCTCCCCAGAGGTACCCAGCCCAGCTGCAGCCCTGCAGTACCGACGCTGGCTGAGGGCACTTTCCAGGGCCTGCAGGGAGCCCCCCCAGCACAGCTGGCCCCCCAGCCTCAGCCAGAGGCGCCTCTTCACCCGCAAAGATCTGGAGGGGCCAGCAGGCCCCAGCAGCCTGCAGAGACAGATGCGCCAGCGGCTGCGGCAAACCATGCAGGAAGGTGGCCGCATCCAGCGCTGGGAGCCTTTGGCCCTCCAGCCCCCTCCCCAGCCACAGACCCTGGAGCCTGTAGATGGTCTGGACCCCCTAAGTGTCCGTCTGACAGCAGCTTGGGCTGGGGACTGGGAGCAGTGGTGGGAGGAGAGGACAAGCTTCAGTGTGGCACAGAGGCAGCGGGCTCTGCGGGAGCGGCGGCGGCGGCAGAAGCGAGCCCGGGGCCACCGCAGCCTTTCAGCCAGCTTCACCTCCTCCCTCACCTACCAGTCTGAGCTGTCTGAGCTGAGTGATACGGGCCTCCCACTGCCCTCCCCTGGCCGCCCACCCATTCTCTCCCAGGAGGGCTCCCCACGAGCCAGCAGCCCCCCACTTCACAGCCCCCCAGCCTCACCAGTGCCCGATGAAGCCCTGCTGTCTTCACAGAGCCTGCGTTGCCGTGGCATCCCTAAGGAGCGGCGGAAAACACTGCGGGACTACCTGTCCGTGTGGGCAGAGGGGCCCCCCGAGCCACCAGAGCCCCCTGGTAGCCAGGCCAGCCAGCTGTGCATCCCTTCTTCGCAAAGCCAGCTGTCCTCCGCCTCACAGCCCCTCCGCAAGCGCCCACGAATGGGCTTCTGAGTGCAAATAAACCTGCTTGGTACAGCATTCCTCCCTATTAATTATTCCTTAATTAAGGAATTAACAATTCCTTAATTGTTTGGTCAAGGCACCCACCC